ATCTTTGGCTAGTAAAATAGTCTAAATCCCAACTAAACGGATTCTATAAGGTCACACAAAGGGCCTAGATTGAGTATAAGAGGAGAAGGCCTATAGGTGGCCGACCATATGGAGGAGATTAGGTGGATCAGGCTTTCTAACTTAGTCTAATTATAATATGATTACAAATATACTAGGTACCTAGGGTTTTCATTAGAACAATTTACTGTTAGTTGAACCCGAGTTAGCGAACACGAAACCCAACCACTTAATCCTCTCTCTCTCTCACGACTCTCTCCCCTCCCTGCGCCGATGTGTGTGTGCGATGGTGGTGGTGGTGCAAGCTGTCCGCAAAGTTGGCGATCGTGGTATTTTCCCTTCACTCAACCAATCTAGTATTGGTGGACAACTCATTCCAATCCCATGGACTAAGTAGAGGAGCAACGCTTGGGGCTCTATTCTCTCCCTAATTATCAATCAATTTGCTACGTGGAAATCACGCTTAAAATGTGTAATTATGTGATTCTTGTGTGTTATGCATGCAATCTTATTTTAGGTGCGTATGAATATGATTCATGAAATTCCGATTAGAGTACCTAAATCCCTACAGCATATCAGTTGCACCATTTCTTTATTTGGTATGTTTTACTAACTTTTTGCTTGTGTTCACACACAAAATACAACAATTACCCTAGTCACATGTTATAACAACATTTATTACTCCACCTCTTCTCTCTCTTACTTGTTTATTTTTTCCCCTTGGGCATATATGTCATTCTCCATTTTTTACAGTTTTCCTTAAATCTCGTGCCCATGCCAAATCATCCAATAAAAAAAATAAATGAAGTATAAAATAGCAGTTACATTCAATTAATGCTAACAATATAAACTAAAAAATTAAATTTATTGTTTTTAATAGTTGGATTCATGTAGCAGACTAACATGTCCAATTACTTATTTTTTTAATAAGTTAGATTAAAGTCGCACTTTATAACAAAAAGACCCATGTTTGCTTTGTTGTTAAAAAACATAATGGGATGAAATTATATATTCCCTAAAACAGTTATATTTTTGGTGAATAATCACCATTATGGTACAAGTTTATTCCAAAAAAAAATTCAAGGGATAGAGCTTTTAAAGGGTTAAAGCAATAACCAATAACAAAACATAATAAAATAGTTGGGATTTATGCCAAAAATAGACATGGGGCAATAAAAAAAATATTAAAAAATAAATAAATAAAAAGAAGAAGATACCCTTTAAATATAGAAGGCCAAAAAAGGGGCACCCCTTTAGAGCATCAACAAGGTATTTAAAGGGAATATAATACTGCATTTGCTAGTACATAATAATAACTAGGGGTATATAATTATTTTCACGTATACATGAGAAAATGCATATCCAATGGTATTAGAGCATGAGTAATGGTAGATAACCTCACAACCATTACAAGTCACCTCATTTATTTATCTCTTTTCCAAATCATCTTCCACCTCTTTCCACTATCTTAAGTTACTAAATGAGTCACCTTATTTATTTATCTACAATGGTAAGGTTGCTCACAACACTCTTTCCTAATTTTATCAATACCCCAGCACAGTAAAAGAAATCAGATTGTACTTTGTCAGTGACACTTGTGAAGTTATTATTTGACCACATCAAAATCAGATTTTTTTTTTCTAAATGGCAGTTACTCGGTGGTGGCATGTTTCCCTCCCCATGAGTAAGCATTGTGTCACTATCCACTATAGTGAGTTAACTCATACAGAGGAGAGAGAGTATTGTGGGTGATATATATATATATATATATATATATATATATATATATATATATATATATATAGGGGTGTTAACGAACAAAGCCTGCTCGTGAACTATTTGGTGCTTGGTTCGACCAAGCTTGACTCAAGTTCGAGTTCGGGTTCAGCTCGATATCTTAACAAGACAAGCCTAAGCCATCCATGGCTCGGCTCGAAAGCTCGTGTACAAGCTCGAAAATTTTTTAATATTAACATTAATATTTTATTTTATTTTTAAAATTATTTAAAAACTAATAATATAAAAAAAAGAAAGAAAGAAAGAAAGAAAACTAAAAAACAATTAGACTTTAGGTATTCGTATTTCTCAATTCTCGCATTGGGCTTTAGGGCCTTTTCTCATTTATTTACAAAGCTTCCCATTTATTTTGCCTACTACAATCCTACCCTCTACTATAAAAAATATCATTTTACATCCTTAAACCCTAGCTTTTTTGCCATCCTTAACTCCGTAGTTTCTTCGTTTGCGTCATCATCCTGTTCGTTTGTCTTCCAATCCAATCAAGCACTCTTTCGATCAAACTCCGATTCAGTCCATTTGTCTTGCTCTTTCGGTCAGTTTGTCATTCGACCAAAAACAATAGGGTTTATTATTTTTTTTTTTTGTTTAAAATTGTTTCATAAAATCACTTGAAACTGTATTTTAATTTCTTAAAAGTTAATTATTACAAGTAGTTGATGAGCTATAACAAGGTAAAATGGGTGTAAACAAGTGAGATTGAGCAAATTAAAGCATTCAAAGCTCGAGTCCCGAGTGTAGCTCTAGCCAAGCCTTGAGTTGAGCTTAAACTTTAGCCGAGCACAAGTCAAACTCGAGCTGAGCGCGTGTATATATGTTTCAAGATCAAGCCGAGCTTGAATGAGGCTCGACGAGCTTTGAGCTCCAGCCGAGCCTAAGCTCACCACTGTTGAGCTCGAGCCAAGCCTAGAGAGACTAGGTCTCGGCTCGGCTAGTTAACACTCCTATATATGTTTATAGTGAGAACGACTCTTACGGTGAGAACTACACATAAGATACATGCAATAAAACTAAAAAGTACATCAAAAGTTTCTTTTTTTTTCCCCTTTTATTTTTCATATTTATTTTTTTTGTGTTTTGTAAGTGATGTACCTTATACCTCCTTAATAACATGTACCTTTTATCTTTTTGTCATATACCTCATAAATATATAGCTTGTACTTCAAAGTTTGGGATTCCTAAAAAAAAAAAAAAAGCAAAATTTCAATTTTTTTATTATATATATATTTTTATATGAAGTACCTTATTACTTTGTAACACATACTTTTTATCTTTCGAGTATGTACCTTATAGATATAAGACTTGCACCTTAATATTTCAAATTTTTTTGAAAATATTTCAAAAATATTATATTAAATTATTTTGTTCATTTTTTATCATGTATAATGTACCTTATAGTTGGAGAATCATTTCTACAACACCAAGTGACCAAACAATTAAGAATATTTAATATTTGGGTCATCACAATTAAATTCAATCAGACCAAACAAAAGGTTAAAGAAAAAGAAAAAGGATAAAAAAGGAGAGAGAAAACAAAGTTGTGAATAGGTGATTCGACCCTTTCAATGGTAAAGTTGTTGCTGCAGCTACTGGCCTGCTACATGCAGATTCAGTCTTCAAAGTATACATTCATTTACTCCTCTGTTGGTCTTGTCATCTCAATGGTTATTATGTATATATATATAAATGTATATATATATATATATGTTTATATATAAATGTATATATATATATATACGTTTATATATATATATATATATATATATATATATATATATATGTTTATATATATATATATATATATATATATATATATATATATATATATATGTTTATATATATATATATATATATATATATATATATATTATAAGGTCGGGATCTGATGAGAACCACCCTTTATGTGAGAACACTCCTAATATATGAGAACAAATTTAAGTCGTAGGATTAGATTAAAGTAGACGGTTAAGATCAACGTAGAACAAGTAATGGCATTAGTGTAAATAATGAAGCTGCCCAACTTCATATTTTACCCAAAATATCTGATTTTCTCTCTCATCAAACACGTTTCAATTTTTCCTTCATCTTCTCTCTTAAAACCACCAAAACATCTCTAAAATCCATTGTAACTGCTCCAAATCAAAGCAAATCACATTGTTTCCTTTTGATTTTTGCTCAAATTCAATGAATTTTATTCGTAAACTTATATAAAATAAGTTGAATTGGGCAATTGAATTATAATTTTTGCAAATATGAACCCTAATTTGGCGGAAGAACAAATTGAAGAAAATTTTAAATAGAGGTTGGCGAAGAACAATTAATTTGTACAAAAATTTGTTCTGAAATGCAACAGTAACTTATACTCCAATATTTTCAAAGATTTTGATGATTTTTTAGGCAATTTTCGGCTAATATTTTGTGTAATACGTTTATATAGTTCGAATTGTTGTAACTTGCAGGGTTAGAAGGAATAAGATAAAATAAGTCTCTTTAATTAATGTGCCTACTACCAATTTGTAAGACTTTTTTTCAACTTTCAGCTTTATGTTCTAAGCTTGTATTATGATGGTTTTATTGCGCTTTATATGTAATAAACTTACAATCATAATGGGTGATTAAGAGAAGATTTTTGTACTGTGTATCTATGTGCAGATGTTGGCATTGTTAGTATACTAGTCTCATTGTGTTGTATCTATTCGAATTAATATTTGTTGTTTGCTTGACATGCTTTGAATTAATATTTATGCTTATGTTCTAAATTTATATGTATTGTTGTATGATTTGTTGGTTCGTGTGAGATGGAGGTGGCTGATTCAGGTTGTTTGGAGGGTTGAATTGAGGAAATTGGGTGGTTTGGGTTGCTATTATGGGATCGTGATTTGTGGTAATTTGTTACAAGGTGCTGTTGGTGTGTTGCAATGTGTGCGTGGCTGTGAGGACTGTAGTAGCAGCTTAGTGTATTTTTTTTTTTTGGTAAGTAAGTAATATTTTTACCAAAAAAGAGCAACCAGCTACAAAAAGGCACCACAGCCCACAACCCACAGCCCACACCCACTACACCCACACAGCTAACCAAAACAAACAGCCTAGGCAGCTAAACTAAACGGGACCAGAAATATATAGATGGTGAACCCATTTACAAAGGGATCTACTCCATTTACAAGTAATTAATTGCTTAATTCTATCTATAACCTATATACAAACTGCTTTACAAAGTAATCTTGGATGCAAAACAGCCTTGCTCCAAAAAGCTTGATTTTCTGGCAAGCCACAGATGATAGACCAAAGCAGACAGCACAACAAACCCAATTTTCTAAGCCATAGCAGGTTTGAGCTTTCTCTTTCAATTTTTCCAAGAAGCATTAATGTCAAAATGAATTTCTCTAAGATTTAACCATTGACAGATCAACTCCAAACAACACTTACTGTACCTGCATTTTGAAAAACAAGTGCTCTCTTGTTTCCATCTCCAAACCACACAGCAGGAAGGAAATATCTAGACAAACTCCATAGGTAACAAGCTTATCTCTGGTTCTCAGCCTACCCTAAACAGCAAGCCAAGTGATAAAAACATGTTTAAGGACATTAAATCTATTCCAAACCCAAGCAGACTAGTTTACAGGCTCTATAGCACCCTGGATCCATTTATAAACCACGTTTAACTGATACTTACTACTCACCCAGCCATTACTCTGAAAGCCTTCCTTCAAATCCTCCTTCACTACACAAACTCTTTTCCAAGCCCAGCCATCACACCTTTTTGGCATATAAGTTTACCAGTCAGCTTGCTTTATATACACAGAGTGCACCCATTTTACCCACATAGAATCTTCCTTCATAGCAATTTTCCAAACATACTTCCCTAATGCAACCTTGTTCCAACTACCACAATCCCCCACACCCAACCCACCATACTTCTTAAGCTTAAAAACCCGCTCCCAGGATATAGGAGGAGCCTTTGAGAGGACATCATTCCCACTCCACAAGAAAGCCTTGCATAATTGAGTGATTCTGTGCATAACAGCCTTAGGGAGAATAACCACTTGAGCCCAGTATGTATGCAAGCTCATTAACACAACATTCACAGGCACCACCCTAGCTGCATAAGAAAGGTTCCTACTAGAAAACCAGGTAATCTTTACCAGCATTTTATCAATGAGGCTATCAAAATCAGCAACTCCCAGGTATTTAGCATTAAGGGGAATGCCAAGTTATTTGAGTGGGGTTTACCCTTTAGAAAAGTGAGTATCATCCATAATTGCTCGCTTTAAATCAGAATCCATATTACCAAAATAAATTGCAGTCTTATCCACATTTGCACTCAGGCCAGAACATTGCTCAAATACTTTCAAAACCTTTGCCAATAACATGACAGAAACTCTATCCCCATGACAAAACAACATTAAGTCATCAGCAAAGATTAAGTGATTGAGACTCAAATTTTTGCATCTCTGATCGAATTTAAACTATCTTAACTTCCCAACTTTAATTAAAAGCCTAGACATATAATCCATAACCAAGACAAACAGCAAAGGAGAGAGAGGATCTCCCTATATAACACCCTGCTTCCCTTTAAAGAAACCAAACATACCCCCATTGAGCATAATAGAGAAATAAGGAGAAGAAATACATAGCATAATCCAGTTTATGAAAACAGGAGGGAAATTCAGAGCAACGAACATATCCTCAACAAAGTTCCAGTGAAAAGAATCATAATCCTTTCTCATGTCAACTTTGATAGTACATCTAAGAGCCATTCTCTTATTATTATAGCCCTTTAACACATCTTGACAAATCAAAACATTATCGAGAATTTACCTACCCTTAACAAAAGCACCCTGCATCTCACAAACCAGAAAGGGAAAAACCTTCTTCAACCTTTGACAAAGCATTTTAGAAATGACCTTGTAAAGAACATTACAGCATGTAATGGGTCTAAACTGACTTACCTCCTCAGCACAGTCAATCTTAGGGATCAAAGTAAGGACAATATTATTTATTTGTTTTAAAATCTTCCTAGAAGTGAAGAAATCAAGCACAGCCTTGGTGATATCATCTCCCATAACCTCCCAAGAAGCTTTGAAATATTTGCTAGAAATACCATCCGGGCCAGGGGCCTTATCATCCTCAATCTTCTAAAAAGCCTCCTTCACATCTCTTGTAGAGAAAGGCCTGCAAAGATTAAACTGCATTTCAGAGCTCAAAATGGAGCCGTCACTAATAACACTAGGATGAACATGCTTCCTAGGTAGAGAGCTGGACCCAAGCAGACCCTTATAATACTCAACAAAGGCATTAGCAACTTGATCAGGATCCCTCCACCAAGCCCTACTTAAATCTTAATACTATGAATATTGTTCTGTAATCTTCTTCTCCTAATACAAGCATGAAAGAACTCAGAATTAAGATCTCCCTCCTTTAACCAGTGCAACTTGGCCTTTTGTTTCAAGAACTTCAATTTCATAGAATGAGCATCATCATATAGCTTCCTTGCTTCAATTTCCTTCTCAATCAACTCAGCAGTCTCAGGGTCAGAAGCAAGATCCACCTAACACTTATACAAATAAGTAGCAGCCTGAGCATCCTTACTTAAAATATCAGAAAAGTTGAGCAAGTTCATATGCTTCAGAAAATTCTTCACAGCATTGAGTTTTTTAGTCACTGTGAACATAGCAGTACCCTGCACAGGAGTATTCCAAGCACTTTTAACAACATCCAAAAAATAAGGACAATCCACCCAGACATTGAAAAACTTAAAAGGCTTTCTACCACTATCCTTATGATCAAACAAGGAAATGATACAAGGACATTGGTCCATAAGACCTCCAGGCATAAAAGTAGCCTTAGCCTCACCATAATTATCCACCCAATCTGAATTCACAAGAACTCTATCAATTCTTATGCAAACTCTACTACCAACATCCTGCTTATTATTCCTAGTGTAAAAAGGACCACCTGTCTTCCAATCCATCAACAGGCTATCTCTAATACACTCCCTAAACTGCTTCACCTCCTTCAGGTCAATAACATAACCCACCCTATCCTCAAGATTCAACACATTATTAAAGTCCCCACAAACAAACCAAGGCCCCTAAACACTCTTATTTATATCTACAATTCCACTCCATAAATCTGCCCTCCTTTCACTTAGGTTTTCACCATAAACAAAGGTACCACAACAAGTAAACCCAGTACTCCAGTACACAATCTTACAATGAATGAGTTGAGAAGAGACTCTCAGAATATCCACCTGAAAAATAGAAGGAATCAAAATAACCCAAATCCTGCCTTTATTACTATAAGCGTAATTAGCCACAGCAGACCAATCTCTTCCCAATCTACCAAAACCTCACCAAACTTAGCACCTTAAATTTTGTTTCAAGAAGTCCAAACAAGCTAATTCTGTGTTGTCTAAGAAACCAAAGCAGATCACTGGTTTTATTAGGTATGTTAAGACCTCTAACATTCCAGAAACCACACTTATCCATGAATAGTATAAGTGCAAGCACCAACCTGTCCTGTATTGCACAAGTACCCTCCTGAATTATTCTTGGTCCCACACTATTAATTTCAATCTGCATACTTGCCTAATCATCATTCTTCCCTAGCTCATCCATGTTTTGATTAGGCTGGCCATGTTGCATGACATTCTGAACTGGTTGAGGTCTCCTAACAGGCCTCCATTCTCTCATAACTACCCTAGCAAGCATATTGGTTTTGCTTCTTTGTTGCACTTTATGATTTGGGAACTGTGGCCCTTCATGACCCATATCTTTGCACACTGAGCATATAACAGGTTTCCATTCATAGTAAACTTCCTGTTTCACAAAATCACCATTCTCTTCCAAAACTTCAACAAAAGCAAGACACTCACCATTGAAATTCACCTCAATCATAACCTGAGCATATTCAATCAATACTTTTGTTATTGTAGCATTATCCATTTTCACAGGCTTGCCTAGCAAGCTACTTATCTTCATCAGAGCTGACTTGCCCCAAAATCTCAAGTCCAGACCAGGGAATCTGATCCAAACAAGAATAGTGGTAACATGCTCTTTTTTTAAATCAATCCTAGGAACCCATCTTTTCATTATCACCAGTTTTCTATCAAACAGGATTGGAATAGCCTCAATTGCCTTTTCCATACCTTCCTTCTCATTGAATCAAACCACAAATACACCATTGGCCATAGTAGAGATTATATCAACACCATATTTTCCCGAAACACGTTTCACAAAGCTTGTGAACATGTGAAGGGGAGGCCTGGAACACATCACATAAAAAACAATTGTTGAATCCCATAAATCGATTTCGGGTTGTACATCCTCCATAGTCAACTACACCCTACCTCTTTGAACAATTCCATCTGCATGCAATCCTTGATTATCCCTATGATTCCTATGATTCAGGCTCTCAAATGTATTAGTATGAAATAGATCACTCCATTTCTCATGATTTCCATTCCCTAATCTCGGAGGGCCAAAAACAGGATAATTAGTTTATGGGCTATCAAATCCGGCAAGACCACCATTACCTTTCTCAATCATCAATGGGGTAGGGTTTAAGACTTTATCATTATTGACCCTCCCCCCCATACACCGGTAACACACCCGGCATGATTCACACTACCAACAATGGGAGTTACTGTTCCATTAGATCTATTAATAATGGGAGAGAAACTGTGAATTTCCTCCAACCATTGATAAAATTAAGCTGAATGCTTCCTCTTCTCTTACTCATCTACCGGTTTGATTGGCAAATCCTCCATCGATGCAATCTCCAACCAGCTCACATTCGAACCAACTTCTATTACATCATCATGATTCTTCTTCTCAGCAAGAGATGATTTCTCTTTAAATTTTTCTTTAGATTTCTTCTTCTTCTTCTTCTAAGAGGAGGAATTCTTCTTTCCTTTATTCTTCTTTCCCTTAGCCATAGCTCAATCTACAGATTTCAAGGCAATAAAATGGCGAATAGGGGACTTTCTCTCTCTAGGGTTTTTCACTTTCTCTCACTAGCTTAGTTTCAACCTTGAATTTTGCCACAAAAATAAGACATTAATATTACTTATCGGAAGCGGCCTCCAGCTAGGTATTCCGATCACTTGACCTCACTGAATAATTTGCTTTTTAATAATTCCGAAACCTCTATCGAAATAATACATTTGATCGAAGGACACCATTCCTTTCATATCTAATATGCTTGATTTCTTTCATGCAATTGTGAATGTTGTGGTTCATTTATTGCATAGGTTCAGTTACGATTACTTTGCAAATCTTAGCATCATCATTATCAAACACTTTTATAATAAGATGATAAAATTCGAGTGTGTTATGGGTTATATGTGATTTAAAGTTTATTGTCCAAGTGATGGCTCTCGCTCATTTTTAATGATTTGAGATCTTAAACTTGACAACCTACAATCATCAAAGTGCAACAACGAACTATCCATTTAAAAAATTCCTAATTATTGCCTCTAAGGGAGAAATGCTCTTAACATATACTTTAGTAGATTTCCTAATAATGCTTTGTTTGGATTTTACTCCAAATGGCTCAAAATAATTTGGATACCTTAATCACTTGTGATTATGGGAATTTTCAATAAATTTCCGGACAATATACATAGACATAGGTTCATGTTTCCATTCTTAAGCCATGACACGTCTTAACCCCGATCTTATAAATGGCTTCCTCATCAATGACCTAATCGTTGCTGAGGTGTGCTTGCAATATCAATACTAATATTATATTTCTATCTTGTTTGACTTAGTATTTTCCTAACTTATACTTAGTTCAAACATTTACTTAGTTTTATACATATGGGTCAAAAACTTTTCAAGTCCTTCATGTTTAACACAGTAAATTCCTTTACTCATTAAGACATTTTATTAAGTCTATCCAATAGATCTTAATCCCCACTATGTATTAAGTATCGCCTTACCTTGGTCCATTGTTGAAAATACTTTTAAATCTAAGCATTTAGCATTTGATAGTCATTTCACAACAAAGTTCGTAAACTTCTTGTTAGACCTTTAAAAAATTGACTTTTTCTCCTAATAAAATTCTTATCTATAAGAATTTCTATGTTTCTCCATAAGCCAAACCTTTTTCTAACTTTATGAGAAAACATATTCTAGTTCCTACATGCAATGCTTCTCTTAATCCACCAATGGATTTCTTGTGCTTGCTTTCAAATCTAGCATTATTTAGGTTTACAAAACCCTTAGACTATATCCATAGTCTCTTCCAAAATCTCAGTTTTTAGGAAAGCGGTCTCGATATCAATTTTTCCATATTTCATATGCGCAATTTTGCTAGAATAATCACCAAAAGACTTAAGCATTCCGATTAGTGAATAGGTTTTATTAAATCAACGCCGTGAATTTAATTGTAACCTTTTCAACTAATCTATTTATGTATGCATATATATTTCTATATTTGTTAGTTTTCTCCTTGAAAAATTATTTGCAATTGATGAGTCTAAGACCCTTCATGCAAATCAATCAAGTTTCAAACAAGATTTTCAAACACGGAGTCTGTTTCGGATTTTTATGGCCTCTAACTATTATTCGGAATTTGGATTTGTCATAGCTAATTTACAATACACTATTCCATTACCATCCAATAGTAGATAGTATGTTTGTAAGTCTTAGGTTTACTTCTAACTTAATAAAAATTTATAGTATTCAATCCAAGCCTTTAGTGAATTCTATACATATACGGGGTACTTGTATCAAACACTAAGTCTCAAGGCGCTTGTAAAGCCCTTTGATATTATTGATCTTATTCCCACACTTCTAAATTTTTGTTGAGTAATGAATTCTCTGAAAAGGAACTTGTCCTTTGAGTATTCTTGATCAATGATTCTCATGAAGCCCTTCTAAAGTATTCCGAGATTCTCATTTCTAGTTTGTTGCTAATCTCGATGGTTAACAAGTTCATTTTCCTCCCACTTGTCATTTTGGAAATGTGTTATTTTCCAAAAAGACACCACTTAGAGCAACAAACACTATGTTCTTAATCATATTGTTGAAGTAATGCCCATAGTCTCACTTAGATGTTC